GTTAAAGATACAGAGAAAACAAATGAAAAGCTTGTAAGTGAATGAAAATAAATGCATTAATTGTATTTCAAAGATTTTATACTGGGAACATATTGCCGTATTATATTTACCTACAAAATGAATGAAAGTAATCCAGTGTTCTCATTGCAGGTAAAAAGTCTGGAATGGAAGAACAAAGAAAACCAAGAAAAGGGATTTTCATTCTTATTTTCACATTTTAAGAAATATTATTTGCCTTATATTTTCCCAAACATGTGCAAGGAAAGCAGCTTATATAACCCTATACTTGGTAAGCATTATTTTGGTATCTCCGAGAAGTGTTCATCATTTTGTAATATAATTTATGGCTCAGGATATCTTGTCTCCTTCCAGATTTTAGGTCTTCTCCCGTGATTGTAACACTGCAGGTAGTATTATGTTAGGTTTACCCATGAGTAGATCTGTCGCTGTGCTTATGTTATATAAAGGGAGTGGAATTAATTGTAGAATGGTCAGAGCACATGGATGTTTTTGAGTGTAATTATGAGTGCTTCATTACTCATTACTTTAATCGTGAGAAGATAAGAGATTGGATTTATATCCCGCCCTTCACTAACCAAAGGTGTCTCAGAGCGGCTTACAAACTCCTTTCCCTTCCCCTCCCCACAACAGATACCCTGTGAGCTAGGTGGGGCTGAGAGAGCTCTGACAGAAACTGCTCTTTTTCAAGAACAGCTGTGCCAGAATTATGGCTTGCCCAAGGTCATCCAGCCAGGTGCAAGTGGAGGAGTGGGGAATGAAACCCGGTTCTCCCAGATTAGAGTCCGTGCACTTAACCACTACACCAAACTGGCTCTTGAGTAAATTTAAGGTTGCAATCTTACAACCTGAACTTCAAGAGATTTACTTAGGATTTAATCCTGTTGATTTGAATTGACTTCTGAGTAAATGTAGATAGGATTACAGCCTTACTTTGATTTGCTCAAATTACTAGAGTGTCATCGGTGACAGAGGCATAGGCCTCAGTTTGCTGCTGGTGAGTCCGCCCCACTAGGTAGCTGATTGGTGCTGGGGGAAGGGGCCCCCGAGCAGGGGATTCCCTGGTGGGGGTCTGAGAATCCTAACTGTTAGTGTGATTGGTAGGGTTCTATATCATCCCTTCTACCCATCACAATGCTTAGTGGCTGGCTAGCAGAGTGTAGTACACAATAAATGCATGTTGGTAAGTGGTCAGTAAAGCTAAATGTTGATAGTAAACTGCTGCTATCCTCATGGCGCTTGAAAATATGGGACTACTATATCATGGATAAAATATCGGATGTAATCGCCACAGCCAATATTCCTCATAAGAAATCGAATCTTCATTTGAAATGGTTTCCCTTTCTAGAGTTTATGTTTAATGCTGTGCCTTCTAAATTCACAGTTCCTTCAAAGTACTATGAAGTATTTCATCATATGTAACCAAATAAGTATTTTCTAAGTGTTACTTTATAGCTAAGCCTTGTTCTATGGTAGTAAAGTGTTAAATGTTTTGTATGTTTACTGCTGTTTTACAAAATAAAAAATGTTATTTGAAAAAAAAAAGAAAGCAAAAAAGTAAAGCTAAATGTTGATAGTAAGAAAGCTGGATAACTTGCTGCAGTTACTGTATTGACCTGTGGTTGGTAAACCGGGTTTCAGGACGATTTATGCTTTCCCTCTCTTCCTCCTTTTTTGACTGACACAGAACCCTGGTTTTAACAACACAACGAGTTTCTTATCTCTTTAGTAGAAGGTTACACAGCTTGTTTTGGTCAACAAATAAATTATTGTAAAGTGTAATTATTTTCACCTTTAAGCTGGGCTGCACTTCTCTTCAGAGCCATTACAATGTCACATGTGCCCCTATGGTTACAGAACTGACAGGCTGTTTCTCCCAGTGAGAGAAATGGGGCAGTTTTATCTAGGAAGGGCTCACTAAACACTGGAATCTCTAATCCTTTCACTGCTGTTTTTACCACAGTGATATTGGAAGTGTGGACCTTTCTCTTTAGTCCCTACACTTCCCCAGGCTGGTCACCCTGTGTCTCAGAGCCTGACAACAAGATTAGCTGTTGTCTCAGGATTCTCCCTTAATCCTTTATCGATCCCCAACCTATTGCTTCCTTAAGACAGACTAGCCTGCCTAACACAGAATGCCTAGTCCTATCTAGTGCCTGCTTCTCTTTATATCTGCCTGACAGCTTGTCTCAGCTACTCTTCCCCCCCCCTTAGAACCTCCCACTGAGAATTTGCAGCCCCTCACTGGCTGGGAACTCTAGGAATTTATGTACACTCTAGTCTAGAATCAGGGATTGGCTGTGACGCTTGGAGGGCAGAACTGGAAGCTGTCCATCACAATTATGTTTTGTCAAGTAATTGTATTTTACAAATCATAAAGAATGAAGATTATGAAATTTTAATTATTTCAAGTGTCCAGCAATCTCAAAAGTGTGTTTGAGCTTTGATCTGTTTGTTTTTTATCCTATCACTTGAACATTTTCTTCCCTTTAGAGATGCCACAAATGAGACCAAAGCCACATTATATCATGATAAAGAAAGATGCTGAAACCAATGAAGCAATATATTGCACAAAGGAACCTTTTCTTAAGGCTCGCGTAATTGTCATCCGGTGGTTGGTGTCTTTCTGGCTTGAGCCAAAACCTCATGCAGGACCTCAAATTCCTGGAATGGAGGGTGAAATCGTGCCAAAGAATATTCAGGTAGAGCCAAGAAGGAGATAAGGGGTGGAGGAGTAAGTAGGGAAGAAGCAGACATTGTTCTCTCTGTATATATTTATTTCAGTTTTAGGTTTACCATCTCCGGCCTGGGAAATTCCTTGAGACTTTGAGGGTGGAGGCTGGGGAGGGCAGGGAGCACAACAGCCTATAATGCCATAAAGTCTTGCCAAGACAGCCATTTTCTACAGGGGACCTGACTGCTGTACTCTGGAGATCAGTTGTAATTCTGGGAGATCTCCAGGCCCCACCTGGAGGCTGGCAACCCTTCCTCAAAGGAGCTCTGGGCAACATACAGTGGCTCTTCACTCCTGCCCCCTTTATCCTCACAAGAACTCTGAGGTAGTACAAGTTTAGAGTCCAGTGGCACCTTTAAGACCAACAAAGGTTTATTCAAGGTATGGGCTTTCGTGTGCACGCACACTTTATCAAATACATTAGAATGGCATGCAAGGTTCAAACTTGTAGCCAGAGGTAGGTTAGACTGAGTTATTGACTAGGGTTCCCTGGTGAATTTTAACTGAATGGGGATTTGAACCCAGGTTATCTAGTACTCTGTCCATTACACTCACTATTTATAATCCTTCCCACCACACTGTGACAGAAGCCCATTGATTTGCTTGCGACAGCAAGTGTCCCTCCCTTCTTTCGTAACTATGAGCTCTTACTTGGAGGAGAGAGGAGGGCAGAGGTGTAGAGCATCCATGATCCTCAGGCTGCATCTTGTAATCACTGAGTGCCCCTGAAATGCAGTGGAGATATAGGAAGAAACCTCTGCCATCTTCCTGAGCTTGGTACTAGGTAGGAATGCTGGGTAATTAACTGACCTTTCTTTGCCCATCTGAAGCATTCCAAGTGTCTTTGAATTCAGTATGATGTCACACTAGAACAGGGTGAGAAGGAGGTCATGGTGGACATATTTTAATCTGATTTACAAGGCTAGCCAACATTTATGGACCACAACACTGTGTAATAAGATCTTCTTATATGTGTTTAGAGAGAGAGTTCCATCAGGCCCCCAATTCTGGAAGCACAGAGAGCCATTTTGGGTGAAGTGGTACAATAATCTTAGCATTTTCTTTAGGATATTTAAAGTGCCCCACTTGTTCTATCTCAAGAACAAAGTTTGAGTCCAGTGGCACCTTTAAGACCAACAAAGTTTTATTCAACGTATAAGCTTTTGTGTGTACGCACACTTCTTCAGGTACATATAAGTCCATACATATAGGCAGAGGGTGAGCAGCAAATTAGCATGCAGCATATTAAAATTGTTTGACAGATGTAAGGACCAAACTGGAATAACAAGCTTAGTTTATAGGGTCACCATTTGTTTGGGTTTAATTCCAGGGGAAACAGTGATGAAAATAAATATATCAAAATTGTTCTATCTTAGTAATTCTTACAATAGCTCCAAAAGGAAGTTCAGTGTGTATTTTCCTCAGTTGCAAGTCAGGGATGAGGTGTGGGGTAAGCAAGCTGAGATTGAAAGAATTCACTTCTGAGGTTAGATTTCAACTGGGGATTTCCTGACTCACAAATTGTACTTTTAGCCACTGCAGTACAGTAGATGCTTGAGGGACTTAACACTTGTACTGTGCTCCAGCTCTGCACTGTGTATTGTTACACCATCACAGTAAAAGCCAACCTGAAGAATTATTTGTCTTGTCCTTTTTGGTTTCAGAGGGCAGCTGCTAGCCTGGTTTCTAGAGAAGATAGCAAAAACGACAGTACTGATAGACCTGATAGAAGTGCAGAGCCTGAACAATCTCATTCTAACACAAGCACTCTAACAGAGAGAGAACCTAGTTCCTCCAGCCTTTGCAGTATTGATGAAGAACATCTCACCGACATTGAAATAGTCCGCAAAGTTTTTTCTTCTAAGAGAAGTAACGTTAACTTTCTTACAGAAATCTTTCGTCAGGTAAATTCTGTTTTGAAAAATGTTTGCTTAGGTCTATACGTTAACATTTTTCTTAATCTTAGCATTCGTTTTAGAATGTTCAAAGTGCCTCACTTGTACTATTCCAGTAATTCGTACAGCAATGTGGTGTTCATGAATATAAACTCCTATTCAGTTACTGTTTAAATCAGAGGCAAAACTGCAGAATTTAATTGTCTATGTAATGTGTAAAGACCTATGGGGAAAGTTGCAGTATAAATGTTTTACTAAATAAATAAGAGATTTGTGTTGGATGCCTATGATGGTTACCTTTAGTAGTAGCAGTGAAGCCTCTGGCTTCTGTTGGTTGAGCCAATGGTAGTGTTGTTGAATCTTCATAAACATTTTATCTGTCAGTTATCAGCCTCTGAATGTTTATGGCCATATAAAATCTGCAAATTGAAATGAGTGACAGTGGCTGAAAGGAAAATCCTTGCACAGTCTCAGAACAGAAGGGGCAAGAACTTGTGGGATAAGGTCCAAGCTAAGGGACAGAGTGGCTGAAGTATGGGGTCATAATTAGCACATCCTGGCAAATGGGAATTTGGTGTATGAGACAAAAGTCTGAGACAGGGAATTAATGGATGTCTGGGAAATGATGTAAGGATAAAGGAATGTATGTTATTGAGATGAAAGTGGACAGCGAAACAGGAGTGATGATAAAGGAGGACAGCTGCCTGAGAGTCAAATAGACAGGTAAAGGAAATGGAAAAGCAGATAAAACATGGTAGAAAACATGAAGAAAAACATTATCATGGTAGAAAACATGAAGAAAAAAATTATCAGGAAGAAAATGAGGCTGTACTATAAAGAAGTCCAGTGTGTATTTTCCCCCTGTTGCAAATTGGGAGTGAGGTGTGGGGTAAACATACTGAATCTGAAATAATTCACTTCTAAGGTAAGATTTGAACTTGGGATCTCCTGTGGTATAACATCTGAAGTGGGGTTTTGAGTTGATTGCAAAAAATAAGGGATCAGTAAAGGCAGTACAGTTCTATTGGCCAGGGAGCCATTTGGCCTTTGTCACATTCCCTGAGAGGTTCCCATACAGCAGTGGTGGCGAACCTATGGCACGGGTGCCAGAGGTGGCACTCAGAGGCCTCTGTGTGGGCACGCATGCCATTGCCCCAGCCAGGCCCAGACCACCATTAAAGTGTCGAATTCTCTGCCAAATGATTTTAAGTAAATGAAAGCATTTGGGATTGCTTTCCTTACTTTGTTTGGATCATCTTTTTAAAAAAAGGCTACCCCCTGGGAATGGCGAAAAAAGCAAGCGGGGGAGGGGGGCCTGCCATGCGCATGAACTAAACAATGAAATACGAAGGGTGGAGCGGAAGAAAAAGCGTTGAAATGTGTTTTGAGAGACTTACCAGAGCGTGGATAAGCATATGGGCGTTATTTCAGAGACTTTAGCAAGTTTGCGTAAAAGTAAACAATCCATAAAGATGGCGGGGAAGAGGGCAGAGAAAGACAAACCAGCAAAAGTGAAACCAGCGTGGAACATGAGCCCTTGACCGGAAGAGGTCACTGAGTTCTCCAAAATGTTGGCAGACTCCTTGCGCCCTCTGCTGGACCAGATGACTAACATCAAACAACAGCCGACAACTCTAAACCAGAACCTTGCAACTCAGCAGCTCCAACTGACTGAGACTTTTAAAATAACGGAGCAAAAGGCTGAGAAGGTGAAGGAAATGGACGCCAACACTAAAAAAGTCAAGAAGAAGGTGCAAAAGCTGGAAAAGAAACAAGCTTCGGAAGAATCACAACTTTTACAGCTGCAAATGGAGAAAGCAAATTTGGTCCTACGGTTTCAAGGGGTCCCAGAATGAAAAGGAGAGAATCTAAAGCAACTCTTGAGTGAAGCATTATCCCCAGTTACAGATTTGAAAGCAGAGTATCTTGCAAGCAAAATGGATGTGGTCTACAGGTCCTATTCCGTGTACATCAAAAATAATAATCTACCTGGGGAAATAGTGGTCAGATTCTCAAAGAGGCATGTGAGGGATTCTATCCTGAAAGCAACTACAGGAACACCCTTGAAAATCGGGGACAATATCATCAGGATTCTAAAAGACATCCCATTTGAAATAAGGCAAAAGAGAAAGAAATATAAAGACTTAATCCTTTTTCTACAAACAAACAACATTGTGTACAGATGGTTGATTCCAGAAGGAGTCATTTTCAAACTACAAGATAAAAAAGAAAAGATTGACTCTGTCTCCAAAGCACGTGAGTTCCTGAGAGTGCAGCTGGGAGAGACAGCCGAGGTCGAGAAGGAAGAAGATGACAGCAAATTCAGTGGTGAATTAGACTCTGTGTCTTCCGACGAGGACTCTCTTTCTGATAAGGGGGCGGCTGCCCCCAAACGTACATATAAATTGAGGATTAGAAAAGACAAGACAAAATGAAGGCTGAAGGACTCTGAATTATGTCTTAAAATCTTAGTTTTATTATGGGATGCTCTGGGGGTTCTCTTAAACAGTTAAATCAATGGATAAAAAGATAAATAATTTAGCATAACTGACTATGTTCAAAGTAATACTAGCAATTTAAGATTAACATTTATATAAGCTGTTGTTATGATCTCCTATACTTGGGGTTTTAGTTATTAGTGGTTTTCTTTCCTTTCTCCCTAGATGTAGTTACCCCTTCCCAATTTTTCGCTGTAGTTTGTAGTCTATTAAAAAATGCAATAAAAAATCTCCAGGGCCCCCCAAAAAATAATAATGTATCAGAATGCAGACTTTAAACCTTAAACTACCTTTGAATGCCTTTTATAATTTCAGCCTTTTATCATTTAGGGCTTTTCATTTGAACCAGGTTGTTTCAGACACGTTTCTACAGCCTAAGCCTTACTCCAATAGGATAAGCAGACTTTCACAAACAAATCTATATAATTAGGCAATCTATAAAAAGGGGAATTAAATAAATTATGAAGGTAGAATGCCAGCAGGGGTTTGGGGGTTATCCAGTGTATTGCACTGAGAGTAAAATGTATGACTGTCTGCCAGCTGGACAGAAGTCATGGGTGTGTGCTCAGTGCAAGGAGCTCCTAGTTCTCAGGGAACGAGTTTGTACCCTTGAGGCCAAGGTGGCTGACCTGGAGAAGCAGAGACAGACAGTTAGGCACACCAATAAGACTCTCAGGGACTTGTGTCCCACTCCAAGAGTGGCAGCCCCGCAGCTGTAAACGAGCATGAGGGTCATGGGAACACCAAGCACTATGCTGAAGAAAGGGGGAATGTTCCCCTATAAGGGACCCCTTCTGCAGTTGGTGAACAGGTATCCTTTTGCAGGGAGGGAGGGAGGGAGGGGGCTCTTGGTGATTTGATCCTTAGGCGCTGAGATGTCTTTTGGAACAAGCAAGACCTGTGCAAAAGAGACAGACTCTACTTGTCCTGAGAAGGAACCAGGCTGCTGGCGCTCAAAATTAAAAATGTGGCAGAGCAGTTTTAAAACTGAATATTGGGGGAAAGCCGACAGGAGATTAAATGTCTCTGGTTCGGGATGGTTCATCTCAGAGAGATGAAAGGATAGCTGTTACTGTTCTACAGGGAAATGAATTAGGGCTGGCCACTGAGAGGGTGACAAACGATATTGACTGCCTGGCAAGGTCTAGAGGACACAAGAGGAAGGTTGCAGGCCTAACATATCTGGGAAAATATCGATGTTTATATGCAGATGCTAAAAGTGTCCAAGGTAAAATGGGGGAGCTGGAATGCTTATTATCAGAGGAAAATATAGACATTGTGGGCATTTCAGAAACTTGGTGGGATGAGGAAAATCTGTGGGATACAGTGATTCCTGGATATAAATTGTATTGGAAGGAATAGGGAGGGAAGGGTCAGGAATAGGGAGGGAAGGGTCAGATATGGAGTGGCTTTGTATGTCAGAGAGGGTATACAGTCCAGTATCTTAGTGTATTTTTTTTCCAGAATAGTATATTAGAATACTGAATGTAATGCAAGGAATATTGGAATGTTGTACTGACATAACACTGCACCCACTTCAAAAAATAAAGAAAAAATACTGTTAAGTTACGTCCACACCTGAGAGGAGATGAAAGGACAGTCTCAGTTTACTTCCCACAATTAGAAAAGATACCCTGTTTTGACATATTTATTGCTTTACTGTCCTTTCCCCCCTTAATTAAATCAAAACAACTGTTGACGTTAAAACCTTAGCTTGCTATTTAGTTTTGTTTTTGCGTATCTTAAAACATCTTCATTATGTTGCGTGTTAATTTGCTGTTCAGCCTCTGTCTATAATTTTGAACTCTACCTTCCATTCCAATGTATTTGAAAAAGTGTTCATGCACACAAAAGCTCCTACCTTGAATAAACCTTTGTTGGTCTTAAAGGTGCCACTGGACTCTAAATTTGTTTGGGAGTTTGTTATCGCCCACCAGATCAAAGGTTAGAGGATGATTTAAAAATAGCCAAAGAATTAAGGAAAACAGCCAGACAAAATAACTGTCGTAATAGGTTATTTTAACTACACACACATTGATTGGGTCAATATGTGTTCAAGTCAGGAGAAAGAGATTGGGTTTCTAGATACTCTCAATGACTGTGCCATGAAGCAGATGGTCACAGAACCTCCTAGGGGAGAGGCGATTCTGGACTTGGTCCTAAGTCATGCTCAAGACCTGGTGAGAGATATAAATGTGATAGCGCCAGTAAGGAACAGTGACCATAATGTTATTAAGTTTTGATCTTTAAGGCCCTTAGCAGTCAGGGACCCTCATACCTTTGGGACCACCTCTCCCAGTATGCCCCAAGAAGAGCATGACACTCGGGAAGCAAGAACCTCCTGATGGCCCGTGGCCCAAGAGAGATCTGGCTGTCCTCAGCCAGGGCTTTTTTGGCCCTGGAGCCTACCTGGTAGAACTCTCTCCTGGAGATCATCCATGCCCTGTGGGATTTGTTACCTTTCTACAGGGCATGTAAAGCAGAAATATTCCACCAGGCATTCAGTTGAGGACAGCGATGGTACGGCTTGTAGTCTGGCACTCTCATACTCTTCAGTCTTTACAAGCCGTCCCCCTTAGGGGGGGGGGGTCCAGAAAAACATGAAAACTGAAATTCTTACCATCTTGGAATGATTCAACCACCATCTTGGAACGATTTAATCATATTATTGGTGTAGTATGTGTTGTGCATTTATTGTTAGTTTTTTAACTTAATTTTTTATTGTATACCTTTTCTATTGTTAGCCACCCTGAACATAAGAACATAAGAGAAGCCAGTATTGGATCAGGCCAATGGCCCATCTAGTCCAACATTCTGTCACACAGTGGCCAAAGATACCAGGTGCCATCAGGTCCAGCAGTGGGACCAGGACACTAGAAGCCTTCCCACTGTTGCCCCCCCCATGCCCCAAGACTGTGAGTTCCTATCTATACCTTGTGGCTAATAAAACCCTGCTTGCAGGGAAGGGTGGCCTAAAAATCTAATTTAATGAATGAATAAATAAAACATTTGTGTAAATAGGGAGCTGCCAAAAAATACCAACGCAATGACATTTAACTTTAGAAGAGGTAACTTCTCTCAAATGATGGGGCTTGTGAATAAGAAACTGAAAGGAAAGGTAAGGAGGATCAAATCCCTTCAGGAAGCTTGGAGACTATTTAAAACTGCAATCCTAGAAGCTCAGATAAAATGTATACCATAGGTTAGGAAAGGTACAATTGGATTTAAAAAGGCCTGTATGGTTAATGAACAAAGTAATGGAAACAGTAAAAAGTACGAAGGATTCCTTTAAGCAGTGGAAGGCTGGTCTGAGTGAGTTAGATAAAAGGGAGCACAGGCAAGTCTGATAAGACAGGCAAAAAGGGTCTATGGCTGCGGTCACATGGAACATTAGCCACGCTAGAGAGACGGAAGATAGGCGGATTTTCCGGGTGCGATCTCACCGCCACATCTTGGAAGCGTAGAGCTCCTGTGACTCACCCGAGGCTTCTCGCCGAAGATGCGGGGTAAAAAACTAGTACCTCCGAGGTACTAGTTTCTGGTAACCGCGGGGCAAGGGCGGGTGTCTGATCGCATTTCCGGTGGCATCCGGTGCCCGCCCATGTCCCCTTGCAAAAAGGGTTTTTTCCCCCAAGTCTACATGGATGCGCACAAGCACCCAACGGAGCATGCGCATACTTTGGTGTACAGAAAAAAAACCCCGTTTGCCGCACCGCGCTGTTTCTTTGCCACGCCGCAGGATTGTCCTGTGATTGGCACCTCCCCCCTACCCACGGGACCTCCACAGAACCTTCACGGGATGTCTGATCGCGCAACCGCGTGTTTTTTTGCCCCAGGGCAAACAGCCACCCCCACCCTCTGCGCGATATCCGGCCCGTGTGACTGGGGCCCATGAGGAACATATTGCAAAAAACATAAAGGCCAACAATAAAAGTTTCTTCAAATACATTAGTAGCAGAAAACGAACCCGGGAAGCAGTGGGGCCCTTGGATGACCAAGGACTAAAAGGATTACTAAGGGATGACAGGGAAATGGCAGAGAAGCTGACATTTTTTGCCTCTGTCTTCACTGTCGAAGATGGGAGGTGCTTGCCGAGTCCAGAACCACCAATTTTGGAAGGGGTGTTGAAAGACCTGAGTCAGATTGAGGTCATAAGAGAGGGGGTCCTATGACTGATGGACAAATTAAAAGCTGATGGATCACCAGGCCCAGATGGCATATATCTAAGAGTTCTGAAAGAACTGAAATGTGGATTTCCTGACAAAAATATGCAACCTGTCATTAAAATCTGCCTGCATTCCTGAGGACTACAAGGTAGTGAATGTAACCCTCATAATAAAAAAAGTTCCAGAGGAGATCTGGAAAATTATAGGCTGGTCTGTCTAATGTAGATAACAGGTAAGTTGATGGAATCCATTATTGAAAATAGAATCAGTAGGCACACTGATGAACAAAAAAACCCCACTAAGATCATGGCATCCGGCCCCATTACTCCTTGGCAAATAGAAGGGGATGTCATGGAAACACTGACAGACTTCACGTTCCTGGGATCCAAGATTACTGCAGATGGTGACTGCAGCCATGAAATTAAAAGAAGCCTGCTCCTTGAGAGGAAAGCTATGGAAAACCTAGAAAGCATAATAAAAAGTACAGACATCACCCTGCCAACAAAAGTCCGTATTGTCAAAGCAATGGCATTCCCAGTAGTAATGCATGGCTGTGAGAGTTGGTGCTGGAGAAGTCTTTTGGACTGCAAGGAGATCAAATCAGTCAATCCTAAAAGAAAGTAACCCTGACTGTTCCCTGGAAGGCCGGACACTAAAGCTGAAACTCAAATACTTTGGCCACCAAATGAGAAGGGAGCACTCACTGGAGAAGACCCTGATGCTGGGAAAGATTGAAGATCAAAGAAGAAGGGGACGGCAAAGGATGAGATGGTTAGACAGTGTTATCGATGCAACGAACATGAAATTAAGCAAACTCTGGAGGATGGCGGAAGACAGGAGGGCCTGGCGTGATGTGGTCCATGGGGTTGTGAAGAGTCAGACTCAACAACAACAAAATTAACACTGTGGTGCGGCCTTATTTGGTATATTGCGTACGGTTCTGGTTACCACACCTCAAAAAATATTTTAGTGTTGGGAAAGTGCAGAAAATGGCAACTAAAATGATTAAGGGGATAGAACACTTTCCATATGAATAAGGTTAAAGAGGTTAGGGCTCTTTAGCTTGGCGAAACGATGACTGTGGGGTGACATGACAGAGGTTTACAAAATTACTTTTATCCCTTTCTCACAATACAAGTACTCATGGGCACTCAATGAAATGAATGAGCAGTAGGGTTTAGAACAAATAAAAGGAAATACTTCTTCACCCAAAGAGTAATCAATGTGGGATTCACTGCCACAGAAAGTGGTGGCAGCTACAACCATATTTATTTTTTTTATTTCTGCTTTAGATTTATGAATCGCCCAATCACTGAATACACAGGGCTCTTGTCAATTTACATCAATAAAAATACACATAAATATATCATCACAAGTTAAAAAACTAGATAATATTACAAACTTAAAATTAATCCCCAGATAGCATTAATAGTTACTGTTGACCAGTTCTGGACCGTTTTGCTGCCTTGCAAGCAGGATAGGGAGGGAGGGGGAGTGAGATGGAAGGAAAAGGAGGATGCTAATGATGTTATTGCCTGTTGCTACCCTCAACCAAAAGCCTGGTGGAACATCTCTGCCTTATAGTCCCCGCAGAATTTCATTAAAATCCCACAGGGCCCTGATGTTGTTTGGTAGAGAATTCCACCAGGCCAGGGCTGAGAAGGCCCTGGCTCTGGTCAAGGACAGCCAGATGTCTTTAGGGCCAGGGATCATAGGCAGCTTCAAGAGGGGATTAGTATAACATAACGAGCATTGGTCCATCAGTGGCTATTAGCCGTAAGGTATAGATGGAACACTCTGTCTGGGGCAGATCAAGATGAGTAGCCATGTTAGTCTGTCTGTAGCAGTGGAAAAGAGTAATGGGAATCTTACTTTCTGTGTCTGGGGCAGTGATGCTCTGTGTTCTTGGTGCTTGGGGGGGCAACAGTGGGAGGGCTTCTGGAGTTCTGGCCCTGCTGGTGGACCTCCTGATGGCAACTGGTGTTTGGCCACTGTATGACACAGAGTGTTGGGCTGAATGGGCCATTGGATCAGTCTAACATTGCTTCTCTTATGTTCTTAAGCACCAAGTCAGATCCTCTCACAAACAAAGAGTCAGACTAAACTATTACAGGTCTGCTCATCACCAGAGACAGGCCTAAAACAGTCCTTTTCCTGCAGTAGAGCTAACCCCACTGTGAACTTATTCTGAGGCAGAGCTATATTCTCTGTGTCAGCCATCTTGCTGAGTTAACCAGTTGAGAAGGGTGAAGTGCACGAACCTATAATTGTAGCATAGAGCGTCTGTTTTGTAATAAATGCTACAATTTTTTCCTGCTAGGCATTTTTACTGCCAGTATGTGAAGCAGCAGCTATGAGGAAAGTGGTGAAAGTGTATCAGGAGTGGATCCAACAAGAGGAGAAGCCCTTATTTATGAAAGATCCAGAAGAAATAGTGTCCTCTTCAAACACAGATTGTGATGAAAACATGGTGGAACATAATTCATTGGAGAAGGGGAATGAATTAGAGGAGGTGAAATATTAAAATTCCTTGAACTTGATGAACTTGATTGCTAGCTTTCCAAAGTAGTAAATGTATTTACCTTCTTTCTGTATAGTAGCTTCTTTTAATGTAGACCGGGTTGGGGGGGGTAGGGATAATGAAATGTAGGATTGCAACTACCTGCTATGGTCTATTGGCATTCATCAAATGATATTCCACCAAAGCACTTGAACGCTTATTTAGATATGTCTTTCAAAGTAGATGCTGCTTTTAATGTTTGTTTGTGTTAGTGTACCTTCACCGCCTTCTTTCTACATAAAATAGAAGTTGTCCTAGTGCTGCCTGTTTAAATCCTATTTAAAGCACTCTTCATGACCCGGTTCTGGAGGAAAGACCAGTAGCTTTTAGCTTTTCTATCTCCTTGGTGGGGACAGGCTGTTCAGATGGCACTGCCTAGTGCCTGAGCAGCAGCATTTCAAATCCTGGAGCTCTTAAGTCAGTTCATTTTCCGTTTGGCCAGGCTTCTCATTGAGAGTGCCCATTGAAAAGGCAGTGGTGCCTCTTGTCACCACAGAGCATCATCTTCCATGCCGAGTGGCTCTTTTGGAATCAAGACAGTGCAGAGTGAATTTCCTAGGTCTTCACCATTTGCACAGGAGACAACTTTACAAGACTCGGGGAGATAAGCTGTACATCCTCCTCTGTTTAACAGCCATGGGGAAAGTGTCCCCTCCCCAGACAGAAGTCTTCCAGCTGGTGAGAATTAAGGTAGTTGAAGAAAGCAATCAGACCACCAGGGTTAGAGGCAGTCGTCCTACCAACTGGCTGCTTGGTTGCTTCTTTTTTATTATTAACAATTTTTATTGATTTTTAACTAACATTTTCCATTACATATAGTGTGATATTTTCAACAGGAGACCACATGAACTTATAACATATAACAGTACAACAACATAAACCTAACATTCTATAAGATGCTAGTAGAAAGCAAAATCCTTATATTTCTGAGGCAAAGTAAATGTTCGGGGTTGACAAGCAGTAATATATTAAAAAAACACAAACCACTTTTCCATAAAGTTATTTACAAATTTAGCGTTATCATTGGCAAGCAATTGCATTGATATTTTGTCTGATATAATCAGGTTGCTTCTTAAACTAAGCGAAAGGTGTGTGGCCAGAATCACAGCTAACAGTGCTAAGAAGAAAGGGATTCTACCAAGTTGTTGTGGCAGAAGGGTTGGTAGAAAGAGTGGTTCTTTATTTATAGCACTCAAAGTGAAAGAATTAAATGCTATTTCATCCAGATTCTTAGATTCCTGATGGAAGCAGCCTTTCTTAGTCTGCTGATTATGCTTTGTTCCTTATGTGGAACTTAAATTGGGTCCTAATCAGCTTGATATGAACGCCCATTCAGCCTGTGGCACTACTGCTCTTAAGCAATGGAATTTTTCAGAGAGCTGTCAGTTCACTCAATAGAGGGTTTCTTCTTCTTCTTCTTTTTTTTTTAAGCAGTTTTTTATTTTATTGAACTTTATATATACAAACATTTCATCTGTTCAAGTTACATATAAATCAGAGTCATTCATTTCTTGTTTTTTCTTTACAAGTTGGGGTTACTAATTTTCTATCAGTTTTTCTATCCACATATATACTTTTTCCCACCTCCTTTCGTGTACCTTTTCTTTTTTATTTTGTATCATTAGACTTAAGTTATCCATTCTAGCTAGTTCCAGTAATTTATGTATTAATTCTTCCCTTGTAGGTATAACTTCAGCTTTCCATTTTTGAGCTATTAGCAGTCTAGCTGCTGTTATAATATAGCTTAATACATACGCATCCTGTTTGTTGTATTCTATCGGTATCATATTTAGCAGGTATATTTCGGGTTTTAGCGCTAGATTTTTCCCCAGGCTTTCTTGAATTACCTTTCTAACCATCTTCCAGAAACTTTGCATTTTGTCACATTCCCACCACATATGATAGAAAGTCCCCTTACACTCTTTACATTTCCAGCACCGGTTTGGATATCCCTCATAACATTTGGCTAGCTTGTCTGGAGCCCAGTGCCATCTATGAAACATTTTATAAACGTTCTCTTTATATGCTACCGCTCTCATATATTTGACTGACTTCCATATACCAGCCCATTTTTCTTCCTCTAATTCCTTTCCTATATCTTTCATCCAAGTGATCATTAAAGATTTAATTTCTTCATCCTGTTCATAATCCCTTAGCAGAAATCTATATAGTTTCTGTACTAATTTATCATTCGAGGATAGCCAGATCTTGTCAAGTTCATTATTTTGGTCTTCAAAACCTCTTGTCATATCTTTCTTGTATCTATCCCTCAATAGAGGGTTTCTGATGATGATTTTCATATTGTTTCTTTAGTTTATATGATGCTTTACAGAATAATGTAAGCAAAAGAAAAGTATGTTGTCGAAGGCTTTCATGCCCGGAGTTCATTAGTTCTTGTAGATTTTCCGGGCTGTATGGCCGTGGTCTTGGCATTGTAGTACCTGATGTTTCGCCAGCAGCTGTAACTGGCATCCTCAGAGGTATAACACAGAAGGATGGAGTACTCTGTGTCAATATGAGAAGAAAAATGGTAGGCAGGTAAGTTATATCTACTCAGCGAGGTGGGGTAGGGCTGAGTCATTATCTTGTAGGAGTTTCCCAGGCTGTGACATGCTAATGGAGGAGCTTTCCTGAGGAGGTTCTTTTGCATATGGATTGGCTGTTGAAATTCTAATTTTCTGTAGTGCTGTTGTAAGATATAGAGCATTTTGTGTTTTTCAGGACAGGAAACCATGCCCTATTTATTTTTAAACTCTCTTCTTTCCTGTTGAAATTGTATTTATGTTTATGAATTTCAGTGGCTTCCCTGTGTAATCTGACATGGTAACTGGATGTGTTGTCCAGCATTTCAGTGTCTTGGAATAAGATACTGTGTCCTGTTTGAGTTAGGCTATGTTCAGCCACTGCTGATTTTTCAGGTTGGCCAAGTCTGAAGTATCTTTCATGTTCTTTCATTCTTGTCTGGATGAAATGCAAGGGTAATGTTTCATTTGGGAATGGGTTCTATGGTATGAGGAGTTATAGTAAAGACCTATAACCTACATCTGTTTATTTTTCTTGGGGACAAGAATCCTTGAAACCTACCTCATGTTAACCCGATGCTTTCACAGATTGCAAAAGGTGGTGTTTCTCTCCTTTTATCCAAATCCAGTTCATCAGGGGGAAATGGCATATGCTTAATATTAGGGCATGGTTCTCATGATTCTGTTCAGACATGTCTGGTAATACTGTTGGAGGCTTTCTTTGCATGATTCTATTATCCTTGGGCAAAAAGTTTTGAGAGACTGTAGATGGCTTAGGAATGCATAGTGGCTTAATGGAAATGCTCATCACAAGGAATAATGGCTCGCTATTGGAGCAGGGCAGTAATCTCAGCAGCATTTTGAAATGGATCTCCATGTAAGAGATGTGTAGTGTAACAGGTCTCATATTCACTAAGCCATAATACAAAAGCTGAGGAACTCCCGATGTTCTTAGTTTCTTTCTGGGAAAACAGTGTGCACTTTCTCCCTGGAATTGGTAAAATTTTTACCCTGCCTAATAATAAAGGCAGGTATTTTTCAATTGAAAAGAATGCCCTCCATAATAAAACGGAAAATTCGCAATAGGCCTTGTATGCCTGTAGACCTTAATAATAAAGCTGAAATTCTGTGTTTCAGTATTTTGGGCCATGGGAGGTGGAGAATGGGCAGACTAGAATCCAGCTCTCTACTCTCCCTCCAAATAACTGATCGGTAGGATTTTAACATTGTTTATGTGGTTGAATACATTCATTCACTGCCTCTAGTTTGTAAGAGGAACCATTCAAGCAGTGCCCATTTATAGCTGTCCAACTTAAAGAAATGTGTTGAATCTAGACTTTATCTATGTAAGCATGTGTATGTTGCTTTCTTTGGGAGCTACTGAAGTTTTATACTATTTTCATTTTGTTGCTTGTTCTATGGCCGTATTTGTGAGCTACTTTGGGCATAGCTGAAAAAGTAGGATAGAAATATCTTAAATAAACAAGTAATTGGAAAGAAAAAAACACCTATTTTTGTGTGTATGTTAGGAAACTATGAATAATTCTGGTCCTGTGCGAAATTCAAGTTGGACTAGAAATGACTGCTATCAGGATGCTCCCCATAAAATATCTGACTTGGATGCCATTGAACAAGGTATACAAGCTGGAGTGCAAGCAGTACTACAAGTAAGAGACATATTTCCCTTTTGTTTTTCTGTTTCATAGCAAATATTTTCTAAGTAAAATTATTGCTACACACCCCCAACCTTTGCTTCATTCATTATGTGTTGTTCTGGATTGAAATGGCTGTTGAGAATGGCATGCCAGTGTCATCGCAAAACCTCGAAAGCTAGAGCCGAAAAATGTGCCGAGTGATATGAAACAAAATATTTTAAAAAATCTAATCAGCTCCAAAATCCAGAGTGTCAAGTGTCTGTCTGCACAATACTTTCAGTAGGGTTTTTAAAACATTAGTGTGGTGCAGCACAGAACACAGTTATATGCTATGGGGAATTTTCCAGATACTGGAGGAGGAGAACTTCTTTTCAAAGGGAAAATTTCAGTAATCTCACAGGGTATGTCCTTCATAAGATCTTAGTTAAGGTCTCACATACTGTGAAGTTCATAACCACCATTATATAAAGATAGGCAATTCTCAAAGTAAGCCCAACACATTTACCAGTACTTGAATCAGAGAAGTTGGCATAGTAACCCAGCATGTCAGGTACAACAGCTGATTAGCTTAAGCACAAAGGGGCCAGTCCCAAGCTACTTGTGCTTGCTTAGGTGGTATTATTGACTCTGAATGTCGATGTATCTCCATCCGTCAGAACCAGTTTGGTGTAGTGGTTAAGTGCATGGACTCTAATCTGGGAGAGCCGGGTTTGATTCCCCACTCCTCCACTTGCACCAGCTGATGTGACCTTGGGGTCAGTCACAAGCTCTGGCACAGCTGTCCTTGAAAAAGAGCAGTTTGTGTCAGAGTTCTCTCAGCCTCACCCACCTCACAGGGTGTCTGTTGTGGGGAGGGGAAGAGAAAGGAGTTTATAAGCCGCTCTGAGACTCCAAGTGAAGGGTGAGGTATAAATCCAATCTCTTCTTCTTCTTCAGTGGGTATTGCATTGTGCACATTTATTTATTCAAAAGGTTTATACTCTGCTCTTAATCCGTAATTCCTAAGGAGGGCTTACAAATCCCCATCTATGCAAATACCATAACTATCAAAACAGTTAAAATGTACTGTATTAAGTATAAGTAATAGTAATAAAAGCAATCTGTAATATCAGCATCCAGAATCAGTAAAAGCATGGATCAAAAAATTAAAAACATTGACATCAACTGTCAGCAACAAAGAACCATTAAAATGAACCACAGTAATAATAGAAGATGCTACAATGCAGGAGGCAGGCAACTACACACCAGTGAGCATCAGTTGCAGGCATAAATCTTCCTTTGCTAGAGTTAGGACTCACATCAGAAGCATATACTGCTTTTCAGTTAACTGAAGCCAATAATATATTCTTCATTGTGAGATTTCAGACCCATAGGTATCTTCAACTATTGCTAATGCATAGCAGCCATCTGGCTAAAGCATGGAGGAGAGTCAGGGAGGGGAGAAAGAAGCGAATTGCTATGGAAGGGTAGGGCTGTGGGTGAGGAAGTGTGTTGATTCCTCCTGATTTATTAACAGGGAGCCATTGTTGCATCTGCTTTTGTCTATAGTGCATCAGCCTTAACACATTTATAACTTTTCGCAAGATAATGCAGTTTTAGGATTACTTGGCATGTTCACTTGTACTCTGTTAATTCTTGTTTCTTTGTATTGTAATCTAGTTTTGAAAAACCATTAAGTCTATATGAGTGTCAAATTGAAAGTCTTTTTAAAATTCCAGTTTATTTCAACTGTGGCAACAAGCAGGTGTTCTAACTACTGAGACTTTAACACATAAAAGTGTGCCAAATTAAACTTTGTTCAACTAATCCCAATAAGACTTGTTTATTCTGTAGTAATGATATTATTAAAGAAATCTAATTTTTTTAAATTACAGGTTTTTATAATAAATTCCTCAAATATATTTCTACTTGAACCAGCAAATGAGATAAAAACTCTGTTGGATGAACATACTGATATGTGTAAGCGCATTCTGAATATCTACCGACACATGGTGGTGCAAGTAACCATGGACAAGAAGACTTGGTAAAGTGTTTTATATTTTAATAATGTCTGCAATTTGCGTGCTACCCTAAGCTTCAAGAAGTCTGTATGATGTATGGAGGCTACCTTTACTAGCCATGTAACTGCATTGCACAGTCTTTAGCAAATACCTTCTCTCTCATCTTTGGCACTCTGAATTCCAAGCAAGAATAATGGAATGCCAATTTTTATAAACAATTTAGCTGAACAATTTTTATAAACAATTTACCTAAATTCCTGGCATGTACAATGTTCATTATCTGAGTAAAGTTTTCCCAGTGTGGAAATAAAACAAATTGTGAATACCTGTGCACTATCCAGTGACCTTAAAGATAATATGTTCCAGTTGAAAATATGGCCCTCAGTTGAAAAAATATTAAAGAATTAGTAAATACTTCTGAAAATATTCTGCATCAGTTGTTATAGTCCATTTACCCCCATGATTAACAAAAGTACCAAGAACAGTAATATAGATCTTACTATTGTTGGCATGTATGCAATGAAGGGTTTCTCTGTTGTATTTTGTGGCAGAGGTAGAGTTTACAAGTAACCTGGAAGTAAGCTTTGAAGTGATTTGGGGCCTTGTTTAAATTGAGGGACATATTTTCCCTTCCCAACATGTTCCACCTTCTGTGTTGTTTTATTGCCTTTTTGTGTAGAGAATAGTATTTGTCAGGTTCTTCCTTTCTCTTTAGGAGGGTTAGAGTGAACAGATCCTCAGAATTCTCTTTGACTTTCCTTTTACTATTTCTACATGTAAAATAATTCAGAAGAAAAGGAGCAACAACATGCTATGGTCAAAAACTGACATTGCAATCCTAATCAGGATTACAGCCCTCTTATTGAAGGCAGTGGCCTTAGAAAGATGTAACTCTGTTTAGGATTGCACTGTAAAATGACTCAGTTAAAAGCCTCAGTTTGCCTCTTAAGCTTTTTTTGTAAGTTAGAATCTACAGAAGTTGTTAAATGTCTGTGAGCCTCAAACTAATATTGTTTAATGTTGCTTTGCAGGGAACAGATGCTGCTTGTGTTGCTTAGGGTCACAGAATCAGTTTTGAAAATACCATCTCACATTTTTCTGCAATATCAAGGAAGAAAGAATTCAACTTTAGCAGGAAGACTTGCTGGTCCTCTTTTCCAGGCAAATAAATAAATATTAATGTGATAAGAGTTTTAAATTTGGTTGTGCTCCATTCAGCTGAGATGGCTTTCATTCAGCACCAGATTTGAGGATGCATGTTAAGCCCAGTTGCATGTAAGAATAGCAGCAGTAAATGTCCAGCTTTGAACAGCTTGGTATAGAGTAGTTTTTAAAGTGTTTTTAAAGTAATTGTTGATGGTCCCTGATGTTGCTAAAACCTAAACAAAATTATAAACAGAATCTTTCATGGGCTGTACCACTTCAGGCTTCAAGTGTTGATGTGGGGCATGTTTTTGAAAGGGGCATGTTAGTGTTTTTTGTAGGCACACAACTTTGTTGGCTAAATGGATCCTCCATGTACAGAGGTGCTAGGCATCAGTACAGGGTCCAGGGAACAAAAAGAAGGTGGCCATCAGTTTCTGCTAGTGAATGCTTCGCCAGTCTGGATGATAAGCCACCTGTTAGCCTTTGGCCTGATCCAGCAGTGCAATTCTTGCATTCTTTAACAAATTAAAGGGAAGCCGTCAGCATATCTCTCTCCCTGATAAGCAGGTGTTTTATTGATGTTTTTAAGTAAGGAAACATTCAGAAATGGGTCTCATGCATCTGTAGTTCACAGTTCCAGGCAGATTCCACAATTTGGTTCTAATAAATATGTAATGTAGCACTTAAAATGGGCATCTTATTCAGTGTTTAGCCAGTATGGTAAGAAGCTTTGTATTCTGTGCAACCTTTTTGATATAAAGGGAGGACTTAGTGTAGTACAGTTTTGTTCATTTCCACAATTATTCTTACCAGCTGGCTTGATACCTTAGCAGAATATGTATCTGACATATAGTTGCATTTTTTATAGTGAGACTTTAAACCTGCTTCTAGAAAGACCAAAAATGGCAAATTCTATATCAAAGTATTTGTGTATTGGAACAGGATTTTATGCAAATGTGTTTAACATCCCCTTAATGGCCAGTTTTGTTCAGGAGAAGCAGCTTTGGGAGGAGACTGCTTAAAGCAGAGGATCAGGAATTCTGGTATAACTCCTCTCTGCAAACAGCTTCCTACAATAGAATTCAAGATGTGTATGTGAATGTTAACACATACTTGAAACTCTTTCGGGTGGGGAAAAAGTGGATATTGGGGTATTTGCAGCAGAAGAGATTATGTTTATCTAAAAAGGATTAAACAGAAAATGTGGTGTTAATATTACACCAGAAGACTCTGAATTTAACATGGCAACAAGGCCTCTTGAGTTCGTAAAAAATCTGTGGCCCTGAAAATGAGCCGAGTTTTGCACCCCTGTTCTGTTGGTATGTGGTAACCTTTTATTGCAACTAATGACATGTTTGTTTTTTAGACCCTTATAGTAGCTTGGATCAAAGCAAATCTAAATGTGTACATCTCTCGAGAACTTTGGGATGACCTGTTGTCAGTATTGTCATCGTTGACTTATTGGGAAGAGCTGGCCACTGAGTGGTCCCTAACTATGGAGACTCTAACAAAAGTATTAGCTAGAAATTTATACAGCTTGGATCTCAGTGATTTGCCATTGGATAAATTAAGTGAGCAGAAACAAAAGAAGCATAAAGGCAAAGGTAAGGCAATACAGTATTTGGCATCTCCAAACTAGCAGCTCCCCAAAGAGTATTTTAATTTCTTTTAAATGCTCCTTCAAAGCTGCAGTTTGTTCCCCAGAGTGGAGGGAATGATAGATCAGGTGCTTGTACCTGCATTCTCCCTACACACACAAGCACAGATTGAAATGTAGCTTTGGGAGGCATGTTAAATTTTAGACCAGGCATGGGAAGGAAGAGATAAGCACCTTTTTATCTTATCTTTCTTGGCCTTGAGAAGTCCTTCATAGTATTTAATATTTAAATATAAAACTGAATTAACATATATTTGTGTTTTGATAGCCAGCCTTGTCATCCTGTAGTCCATGTTTAAAAATCTCAGTAAATCAAACAAATAAACAAATACCTTTATTGGCATAAAATATTAAACAGTTGCCATAGGGTAAAACAATCCTATAAAATTTGTGAAAAATAGATAACTTCTAGGAACATTACAAAGGTATATCTATTTGTATGAGCTTAAAATTATAGCAAGATAAAAATTTCCCAACCGCAAAACCTTGAATTAAATTATACTAACTCATTGAACTCAATTAGAATGATCAGGGACATTTTTCCATTTTATAAGACCATAAAAGAACTTGGCAGTCAATTCAATAATCTCCGAATCTCGAGAAGCTTCCGTCCGGTTGGCATGCTACCTTGCTAAGGGGGAGTCTCAGTAAATCACCCTTCTGAAGCCTTTGGTACATTTGTACTATATGCTAATTCTGGGGTCAGTAGCTGGAAAATTCTTCAAAAAGGAACTTGCCTACAATGTCTAAACCAAAACTGGTTATAATATCAAGTTGATTGGCACAGTCATAGGACAATCAAAAACCAAAAAGAACTGTGACGATGTGCCGCTAATAAATTTCTTTAAGAGTCAAAATTATACAAAAAGTGAACAATATAGTAAAAAAATATACAGAATAATAGAAAATGTGACGGTGGTCTCCGGAATGCCTTGCCGTTTCGATGGTTGATCTTCTTCCAAACAAAGATGTATGACATATGCTGTCTCTCAACAATTCATTTCCTCTAGTGACGTATCAAAAATTCATAGGTATCAATGTTGATTTTCAACACTCATAATAGCTATAATTCCTAGTCGAGCCTTCCGTGGGCTATTGGTATTGTAATGCCTTTTAAATTAAATAATACTTTTGAAGTAATTCTATCCTACTATTCCACTCAGCAAGACCAGTAGGGTTGCCAGGTCCCCCCAGCACGTGGGGGATCTTCTGGTTTCCATCATTCCCCCCTGGCACTGGCCAGCTGGCTGGCGGGTGAGAGTTACCACACCAAACACAATGTGCCTATGTCACCCAGAAGTGATGTAACCATATTGAGGGGGGGCAAACGATCTGGTTTTTAGGCAAAATGGTAGAAAAAGCTTCAAACCATAGAGTTTTGCCCAAAAAGCAGAGCGTCACCCCCAATGTCACCAGCATGCCTATGTCACTTGCAGGTGATGTAGGCACGTTGCCCCTGATGTCCCCGACATGCCTATGTCACCTGGAGGTGATGTTGGCAAGGCTTGCTTCTTCCCTCCCCACTTCTGGAGCATCCCAATAAGTTCCTTGCCGGCTTGTCTTTCGGACCTGGCAACCCTGAACACTAGAAGCTTCTGTCCAATGGAAGTAGCTTTTCTGGCAGGGGAAGAGCCAGTGCTACTGAAGGAAGGCTCCTTAGGAAGGAAACTCTTCAAATTTTGCTGAGTAGCTTGGTGGAGTACAGGCCCCACTATCTTTACCATTGATTGACTTCTGCTTTGCTTTACTTTAAAGTATCATAGAATATATATAATGGTCCTGCTGGATGGACTGATTCATAATTGACTGTTTTTTACCTCTTTCAGGTGTTGGACATGAGTTTCAAAAGGCATCTGTTGATAAATCATTTTCAAGAGGCTGGAGCCGTGATCAGCCAGGCCAGGCCCCAATGAGGCAGCGCAGTGCAACCACAACTGGATCTCCAGGAACAGAAAAGGCCAGAAGCATAGTACGACAAAAAACAGTTGGTATGTACTAGGAACTTATGATATATAAAAACATCTGGAAGGAGAATTAATAATCCAAAGTTTCTGTCTGCACACAATATTTTTCTACATGTAGCTTGTACTGTATATACATGCATATTCTAGGCAAACCCGGCGTCAGGTAATGAAGCATTGACTTTTGGCTTTAAGATGCAGATCATTTTTTACAGATAAACCCAAACATCTGGCTTCCAAGAGATGATCCTGTGATCCACTGCATAGTCAACATGTAAGGATTTGTCTTCATGATTCAAACACAATTGATTGCCTTTTGTTAGGTATATTGAAAGGTCAGTGTGCTTTAATTACTGCAAACACAGCACCCACAGTTACTGCCGTGCTTGTAGCTAATCCTCGTTAGGGCAAGTTCATGTCTTTCAGTGAGTGGGACTTTCTGTAATTGTCTGCTTTAACTGCTAAAGGGGAAACAGAGGATCAGGCTCTTAGAACTGCCTGCCTTAAAAATGTTTCCATCAAAACCTGTAACTTTTATGATAGTATGTAGTTTTATTTCATTCTATTTTTCCCTGTTGTCATGTAGAGACGTTACGTTTCTAGATAACTTAAAAGCCACTGGAAATGTTTTATTTATTTGAAAGACAGTACTTTTGGGGGAAATTCAAAAAAAGAAAAATTATCAAACCTAAAACCATTTTGCTATTTTAACAAGAGAAAATGAAGTGTAATGCTTTCATTTTCCACAAACAAAATTGCAAACATACCCAGTACTAAAGCAAGAGATAGCTGTACCTTATGCTGTCTTAGTGCATTTCACTGATTCCAAAAGAGGAAAAAAATATTTCATAGCAGGGTTTTTTCCCAGTGGTCCCTGATGTTTCCCAGTGGAAAAAATTGAATCGTATACATTTTGGATGAGTTAAACTTTAACTTATAATGCATTCCACTCATTCCAAATGAGAGAAAAAAGTTTAGTAAGAGTTCATTTCAGTGCTCCCCCACATTTCCCATTGGAAAACTTGAAAAAAAATTTTTTGAAAAAAAAAGGTGGGGCTCCCCCCCCCCCCCCCCCCCCCAGGCCTTGACAACTCTATTCTCATGGGTCAGAGTTGATCACAGTACTTCACTGTAGAAATAAAACTATGTCAATTTTAATTAACTCATCTTTACTTTATTAAAATCAGCCACTGTATGTCAGTCTTTATATAAGAAGATCTGGTACTCTGGTACTCGTTCAAGCCTTTGAATGTCCATTATGTTGGAGAAGCTTCTAAGAATAGCGGTATGCTTCTGTTGGCTGAGTTTGATAAAGAGTTGAAGGTCTTCTTGCTTGGTCATAGCAACTACAATGAATTAGGGAAGGTAATGTTACCAATTTTGTGCTTAAAGCTTAATATAAGAACATAAGAAGAGCCCTGTTGGATAAGACCAGTGATCAATCTACTCCAGCATACTGTTTCACACAGTGGCACACCAGCTGCCGAAGAGGGCCAACAACCAAGATATAGAGGCCAAGGCAATTCTGTGATACTGCCTCTTAGTGTTGGTATTCAGAGATTTGCTGCCTCTGACCAAAAGCCTCCTTCCCTCCTCATGGCTGGTAAGCGATGGACCTCTCCTTCATAACCCACATTTTAAACTATCTGTGTTCATGGCCATCACTACACCCAGTAGCAGTGAATTGTACAATTTAAATTTTAATTGAGTAAAGGCATATTTCCATGTGTTTGTCTTGAGCCTATTACTCATTAACCTCACTGGGGGCCCCCAAGTTCTATTATTACGGAAGAGGAAGAAATGGGTTAAGAGTCATGGGACAAGATGATGGTTTTAGTCTTATGGATTGAAAACTGGTTAAATGACAGGAAGCAAAGAGTAGGAATAAATAGACAGTTTTCACAATGGAGGGAAGTAAGCAATGGGGTCCCACAAGGATCAGTATTGGGGGCGGTACTATTTAATTTATTCATAAATGATCCGGAACTAGGGGTGAGTAGTGTAGTGGCCAAGTTTGCAGATGACACAAAATAATTCAAGATGGTGAAAACCAAGGCTGACTGTGAAGAGCTCCAAGAGGACCTCCACAAACTGGGTAAATGGGCAGCAGTGTGGCAACTAAAGTTCAATGTAAGGTGATGTACATTGGGACAAAAAAATCCCATCAGGTATAGGCTAATGGGGTCTGAACTTGCTGTGACTGAGAGGGAAAAAGATCTTGGGGTCGTAGTGGATAGCTCAATGAAAGTGTCAATCCAGTATGCTGCAGCAGTGAAAAAGGCAAATTCTATGTTAGTAGAAGAGGAAGATGAGATTGGATTTATACCCCACCCTTCCCTCAGAGCAATTTACAAACTCTTTTCCCTCCCCCTCCCCACAACAGACACCCTGTGAGGTAGGTGGGGCAGAGAGAGCTCTTTCAAGAACTGTCCTTTCAAGAACAGCGCTCACAGAACTACGGCTTGCCCAAGGTCATCCAGCATCTGCAAGTGGAGGAGTGGGGAATCAAACCCAGTTCTCCCAGATTAGTCCGCGCACTTAACCACTACACCAAACTGGATTATTAGTAAATGGATTGAGAATTAAATGGCCAATATTATAATGCCCCGGACTCATTTAGAATACTGTGTACAGTTCTGGTCACTGTATCTCAAAGGACATTGCAGAGCTGGAAAAAGTACAGAGGAGGGCAACCAAGATGATTAAGGGGTTGGAGCACCTTTCCTATGAGGAAAGGCTGAAGAGTCTGGAACTTTTCAGTTTAGAAAAGAAACGACTAAGAGGGGACATGATAGAGGTTTATAAAATTATGCATGGAGTGTAGTGAGTTGACAAAGGGACATTTTTCTCCCTCTCCCAAAATACTAGAACTCGCATCCAGTGAATCTGATAGGCAGTAGGTTCAGGACGGACAAAAAGAAATACCACTTTACACAGACAGTGACTAAAATGTGGAATTCGCTGCCAGAGGATGTCATGATGGCCACAGGAATAAACAGCTTTAAAACAAGAAGAAGAAGAAGAGATTGGATTTATACCCCACCCTTCACTACCCAAAGGAGTCTCAGAGTGGCTTACAAACTCTTTTCCCTTCCCCTCCCCACAACAGACACCCTGTGAGGTAGGTGGGGCTGAGAGAGCTCTCACAGAAACTACTCTTTTTCAAGAACAGCTGTGCCAGAATTATGTCTTGCCCAAGGTCATCCAGCCAGGTGCAAGTGGAGGAGTGTGGAATCAACCTCGGTTCTCCCAGATTAGAGTCCACACACTTAACCACTACACCAAAAGGGGATTAGATAGATTAATGGAGGATAAGTCTCTCAATGGCTACTAGCCATAGTGACTATGGGGAACCTCCAGATTCAGAGGCACTAATCCTCTGAATCCCAGAGCCAGGAGGCAACATCAGGGGAAGACCTTGGCCTCTATGCCCTGTTGTTGGCTGTCCAGAGGAACTGTTTGGCTACTTTGTGAGACAGGATGCTGGAGTAGATGGACAATTGGTCTGATCAAATGGGATTATTCTTATGTTCTTAAAAGCGCTGTCTATCCACCTTTTCCACCCCATGTATAATTATTATACATGATTATTAGGAAGGGTATTGAAAACAGATCAGCCCATATCATAATGCCTCTATATAAATCAATGGTGCAACCTCATTTGGAATACTGTGTACAGTTCTGGTCACCACACCTTAAAAAGGATATTCTAGCTTTGGAAAAAGTGCAGAAAAAGGCAACTCAAATGATAAAAGGGTTGGAACACTTTCCCTATGAGGAAAGGTTAAGGTGCTTAGGGCTCTTTAGCTTGGAGAAACGACGACTGAGGGGGGACATGATTGATGTATATAAGATTATGCATGGGAAAGAACAGGTAGAGAAAGAGGTACTTTTCTCCCTTTCTCACAATACAAGAACTCGTGGGCACTCCATGAAATTACTGAGCGGTTGGGTTAGACTGGATAAAAGGAAGTACTTCTTCACCCAAAGAGTGATTAACACTTGGAATTCACTGCCACAGGAAGTGGTGACGGCTACAAGCATGGACGGCTTCAAAAGGGAATTAGATAAGCATATGGAGCAGAGGTCCATCAGTGGCTATTAGCCACAAGGTATAGATAGGGACTCTGGGGCAAGTGATGCTCTGTCATCTTGGTGCTTGGGGGGGGGCTCAACAGTGGGAGGGCTTCTAATGTCCTGGCCCCACTGGTGGACCTCCTGATGGCACTGGTATTTCTGGCCACTGTGTGATACAGAGGGTTGGACTGGATGGGCCTTTGGCCTGATACAACATTGGCATCTCTTATGTTCTTATAATCTTTTTTCTAGACAGAAAAGTCAAAGACTCTACAGGTTCTCAAACTCTGAGTTCCCCTTTTGCAGTATCCTTTTTGAGCAACCAAAACTGTATGCAGTACTCCAGATGAGGTTATGCCATAGCTCTGTACAAGGGCATACAATATTTGCTGTTTTATTTTCAATCCCTTTCTTAATAATCCCCAGTGTGGAATTTGCCTTTTTCACTACTGGTGTATACAGAGTTGAGATTTTCCTCAAGCTATCCACTATGGCCCCAAGATCTTTCAGTCTTGGTGTCAGCCAGTTCAGACACTCATCAGCCTATATTTAAAATTAGGATTCCAATTATTTATTTATTTATATTTTATTTATATTTTGTCTTCCCTTGGGATACAGGGGTCAGGGCAGTTACAACACTGAATAAAACCATCAAGTTATAAAAATCCAGTAATAAAATTCCTTAATGATATCCAACAATCACAGCATTCCAGGATGAAAATTTGATTTTCAGCCTGCAGTGTCCGAGCAACCAGGCAAAGAGAGTGGGCCGTATCCTGCCAATAAACTAACATAGGTGGCATGAGATGGAACGAGATAGAATAAGAACATAAGAGAAGCCAATGTTGGATCAGGCCAACGGCCCATCCAATCTAACACTCTGTCACACAGTGGCCAAAAATACCAGATGCTATCAGGAGATCCATCAGTGGGGCCAGGACACTAGAAGC